TATGGTGATGGCATATGGGTGATCTGGTGATGGGAAGCCCATGGGGATTCCAACTGAGATGGAAAAAGGCACAAAATGATGTAAAAATAAACTATTATTAAGAAAAAAAACAACACTGCAGCCATAGCAGCAAGCCCAGACTAGTCTGCTCAAAATGAGAGTCCAAGCCAACAGCCAGCACTAGGTGCCAGGCCTGTGAAACCAATTTAGACCCTTGTCACCAGAAGACTTTGATTGTATAAATGATCCCAGGTGAGACGTACAGAAGAACCACCCTGCTGAGTTCAGCCCAACATGCTGATCCACAGAACCAGAAGCAAAAAAAAAACAAAAACCACAAGTTGCTGTTCTCAGTCACTGTTGGGGGTGTTCTGTGATGTGAAAACTGACCCAATGAAGAACAGTGTGGGAACATAGAAATGCTATGAAATGTATTCCCAGAAACTTGTAGAGGGGTCATATAGACCCAGAAGCGAATGAGCAGTGAATGAGGAGTTCTCCAAGGTCACTATTTGATTTTTAGGTTCTGAAATTATTTTCCATTGACAACCAACACACAGGCACTGCATCATCTTAGCCTGGCGGGGGAGTTACACAGCATCCCTCGGGTTTCATTCACTTGGTCAAAGCAAATCGTAAGGCCCTTGCAGACCAAGAGGTAGAAAACTGAACCTCATCTGGTAACAAATGCAAAGAGTTGACGTGCTACTCTGGAACAAAAGAAAAGTGAAGCAAGTACTAGTAACCCTCTTCCTCTATTTTTTCAAGCACATCCTATTTTATTCTTGCACATTCAGGGTGGGATTCATTAAAGTTAAACAGCAAATAAAAGCAGTGCATGAACATTACCATTAAAAGTTATACTCTCCCTGAGGGCATGTTCAAGTTAATAGGAGTCAAGTGCACACCTATAAGCAGAAGACAAAAGAAGGGAAGCCAAATATCTCGTAATAGGCTTTGAGTCTGAATTCCAGGACCCCCTTTTTCATGAGGTGGTAGGTTTTATACTTGACATTTAAATTAAAAATTCAGTGGCTACCCTCTTTTGATATTCTGCTGCCTCAGGCTGCCCAATGAGGGTCCAATTATAGAGATGTAACAGCAAAAGCATATCTAATTTAAGGGGAAAAAAATAAAAGGAGGAAGAATTAAGAATCCATTTACAGCTGCTGTTTTGCTGCTACAAAACATACAAACTTCCAGTTGAAAAATAAATAAGTCATGGGGTATAATGCATAGCATGCTTAATACATTATATATTTGAAAGTTGCTAAAAGAGATCTTAAAATTTGTCATCACAAGAAATAAAAGTCTGTAACTTCCTATGGTGACCAGTATTAACTAGACTGACCATGGTGATTATTTCCTGAACTACACTAATTATATATACTATCAAATCATTATACAGTACAGCTGAAACCAATGTCTTATGTCAATTCATCAATTAAACTTACAGTTCTTCACCCCAAATCCATCCATTCCATCAAGTAAGCAGAAACTACCAACATAGCAAAGATATCATAAAAGCTACACATGGAAGATTAAATGTGTGGCAAATATTTATTCAATGCCCAAGAATGTCTCTAGAATGAGGCTGAGGGGAGGGAAAGAAGATTAAGGGGATTTCACTGTTCCCAATCTCGAAAGACACTCTCCAACCCCTATCCAACAGTTTCCCTGATTCAGCTGGAGGGTACCTAGCAGGGGTTGGCTGGCACCACCCATCGAGAGACAGACCTGAGATTCTTGCTGTGGAGACACAGCACTTGCCTCATGTGTGTGGGACATGGGAACACCCACTCACAACACTTCAACATCTCAGAGAAAGGGGAACACATCCATTTTTCAAAGATACTCAGCATGAACACCTTTTTATGTTCACAAGAGGCAAAATGTGAAATTACGTCCATCCACTCACACATAGAATCCTTGAGAGTTGTCAATAATATCATAGATCATTTGCGACTTGATGGAGCTGAGCTTCTCCATGGCCGCTGCACCACCATTGTTCTTAATCCACTCGAGGACCAGGCCCATGACGTAAATGCTGAAACCAGGAATAAAAAGAAAGCCCACTTAGTTCAGCTTTGCAAAGCAAAATGTTCTTTAAGTTTTACTAAAGAGACTCAAAGACTTCACTAGATGTAGACAAAAGTGGATCATAAAGCAAGATGTGGACCAACTGAGGTTTATTGATTCTATGCTTGAGGGTTAGAATTCTGCGCAGACGTCACATCTGTCCCTGCCAGCACAGCTCAAGCCCTAAAGCAAACTCTTCCTGACAGCAGGAACACACCTCCTACCTCCGTTAAGCCTTCTATCCCACTATCCTCCCCACTCACCCACAATTAACCTTTCACTTCATGGCCTCTCAGGGCCTTCAGCACACACTTCCCATAGTTTTTACCATTCTCTCCTTTATTTTATATTTCTGTGTGTGTATGTTAGGGACACTGTACTTGGAATGCTGCCAGCACAGTGTTCTCCTTGCCCACCCCCCTGGTAAGGGGGCAGTGTGGGGTAGTGTCAACAGCATGGCGCCGAATCCCACCCAAGTCTAGACCCAGTATTACCTTTCCTAAGAGACCATCCAGGATGAGTCAGCTCAGGAAGCCAAGCCTCAGCTTCCGCTATGGAAGAGGGAGCCCTGAACTGAGGCAATTCACTGCTCTGCTCTTCCCAACTGCTCCCTTCTCCCAACAGGCAGGTCCAGAAGACACCCCAGGCCAAGAGTCGAGACCAAGCCATACCCATTAGAGCCCTGCGTGAGGTTCTCTGAACTGGGAGTGAAGAGAAACAGGTAACCCTGTGAGTTGATCAAATGATGAGATAGGTTGGAAGAGCCCTGGAAAGGATACTCATCTGCAAAATATTTAGCTAACTCCCCTAGCACGGAGAAGCCAGGATCAGAAAAGGAAAATAGATGGAGGCCTGTGTCCCCCCATGGTTCCAGGAGGCGCCCCTGCCTTGCAGCCCTTCCCCAAGCTTGGGATAGTCCCTTTCTTTCTGAGCCAAAGCTTTAACTCTCTACCATCCCCACAACCTCAGGATTCTCATGGGGACTGCACAAGATGGGTATGTGAAGTGGCTGGCACTGGACCCAGCACACAGCAGGTGGGCCCACAGGGGTAGCTGGTAGTATCTCTACTACTGGGAGCAGCACACAGTGTTGAAAAGCAATGGGTGAAAATCAAGGAGCTTCTGGAAGTCTCTCTGCTCACTTCTGAAATCTTTGCTAAGAGCAAAAACCTTTCTTTCTTTCTTTTTTTTTAAATACAAAATCTCCGTGTAGTAGGGCTTAAAAAGCACAACAGAAAGTTCCTCAGAAAAGGCTCCAGCTCTTTGGAATGCTAACTCTGCAGATGAGTGTCTGGAACTGCTGTGACACAATTATGTTGTGAGTTAGTGAAAAAAATCAAGCTGAGCACTTGTCAAAGCGAAAAGCACTCCCCCTCCACCTCTTGCTCCCCTGCTCAGTCTTTGGATTCCTGGACTCCAGGCTTTTCCCACCCCAGGCAGGGGAGGGCAGTCTGGGATAGGGACTCACTCCCATTCTGACAAGAAAGTTGATTTAGGTTAAGTTTTTGTTCCTTACTAGTTACTTCACCTCATACTACAGCCAAAACAAATTTATCTTTATGTACTTATGGATCCTGTTAGTCATGCTAAGTAAAAACTATTTTGTGGGATTGGAAAGGAAGGCCTATGTCTTTGGTTTATTCTCTAAATGAGCTTAGTGTGTTCTCCTAAAGGGTTAAACAGAATGACCATGCATTCTTTATTCCACCCCAATTCACTGCTCAGGGTTACAGGGAACTATGTGAAGGCCAGTTATCCAGCATGGTTCAAACAAATTTCCTGGGGCTTATGGTTCTTTGGCTCTAATTAAAAAAAAAAAAAAGAAAAAGCCTTCTTTTCAGTTCAAACTTGGACCTTTTCCAGGGCTTCTACGTAATACAAAGTTCTGAAGTGTTCTGGATGCCCCATGACTTACACTCAAGGATCAGGGAGAGTGTTTTGCTGGAACCTTAATGCTCCTATTTGAAGGGAATGTTCTTGCTGGGTGAACTACTATTCTCAAACCAAGAATGTTTAAATACTACAAATGGTCTCTTTTTCAAGACAGAGTGTAGGGTAATTGCTCAGTTATACAGACTTATATCCTTTCCTTCCCATTTGGGGAACAAGAAGCAAAGCCACTTACAGGGGTGTGTTGGGTCAGAATGCATTTAACTCTTTTGCCTTTTACACTGACCTGATTTTAATAAAAAATATTAACACCCTCTATGTGCAGTCAACATGTTCTTCCCATATCCACACGGTGTCCTCTAGGGACTCCAGTTTCGTCCTACATACACCCCAAAGATATGCCCGTTAGTTCCCCCAGTGTGTCTAAATTGCCCAGGTCTGAGTGAGTGTGGGTGTGGCATGGTGAGCCTGTGATGGAAGGCTGTCCTGTCTAGGGTTCCTGCCTGCTTCTAAGGAGGGAAACATTCCCTCATCCCCGGAGGAACAAGGTCTGGCCACCTGAGACCCTGAGCTGGGGTAAGTGGACTGGAAAATGAACAAATGAATAATAACAAATTATTGTTCATTATCAGAAATGTGTATGGTCTTTGTATAAATGTAGTGCTGTTTTTGTGAGCAGAAATATGCCACTGGAACTTAACTCATTTACATTAACTGGCTTCTAGTCCAACTGACTTCATTCTGTAGTGTTTCACATCAAGTCTAACAAGAACCGCTCAACAATGTTAAGTGAGAACTGACTCCACGCTGCATCACTGAATCCTCACAGCAGCCCAGTGAGGAGGGCACTTCTGGTACTCCGAGCAACCTGATGCGTACCAGGTTAAGTGAATTGTCCAAAGTCACACAGCTAATTAAGTAGCAAAGCCTTTTCGGCATTTACTAAACCCTAGGTGACATAAGGATTTTCACAAAATAGCTGGATCTGGAAGTCCCAAGCTCTGCCCATGAGCACTGCTATGTGCTCTTCTCACTCAGCTAACAGGAGCCACGCTAAGAGAACCCCTGCAAACTGGAATAAAAACCAAAAAGGTGTTTGTTCCAAGTCAGTATATTTACTGCCAAATAGGCAGCTTCATGCAGGTCCAGCAAAGAAAGCAAGCCAGGAGGGAGGCTTGACCTTTGAAAGTCCTTCTCCAAGGCTGCCCGGGTTGTTTGGGAGGCAGAAATGACACCACATCTGCAGAGAGTTCTGGGGTTAATGGTGAACCAAGGCTACTAAGACAAACAAAACACCATCCCAAAAAAGAAAGATCTGAAAGGAAACGTAACCAAACAGTGCATAGAGGGGTGGTGAGCTGAGCAAAGAATCCTGATAGGATATCTGGGGTCACCAGTTCATGGACTTATGCCTGGCTTTAAATCTCCTCTGCTGCGATGGCAAAGGGAGAGTCCCTCCAGGGGTCCACCAGCTGCAGCCAAGAGTTACCTGAAACACGGGGGGGTGTTGTACAAAGAGCTGTTCCCAGCCTGCACTTTGTAGTCCAGGACCGAGGGGCACTCTCTTAGCGCAAAGCCCAGCAGGTCCTCACGGATGATCACCACCGTAACCCCTGCACAGCCAACGTTCTTCTGGGCACCAGCGAAAATCACACCAAACTGAAGAAGAAAACCACATGCTGTTTTAGAAGCACTGAGTCATTTTTCATAAAGGTCTTCAAACTTCCCAACCTCTTTCCAAAGCACAATTCTTATGGGGAGGTGATTCTATTCCAGTCCTGTTCAGAGTACGTGCCACTGTCGAAAGGATTCTCTATCTGGGGCAGCAGATCAATACTGGAGAGTTCAGAGGCCTGCAGATGACTTATTGACCTGGTCCTTCTCACCATAAGGGGCTAACCTAAGTCCATCACTGTAAAGATCTCACACGTACTCATATTCTCTCTGTGGCCTACCTTCTGACATCCAAACCAGTCTTTTAAACGGCCCTACTACTTGTACTTTTTCTTTTTTTATTTTCTTATTTATGCATGCAATAAGTGGAGTGTAGGTCAAAAGTGGGGGTTGGGTGAGAGGACTCACCAGAGGCAGAGTGGGGTGCATTTAGTGAAATACAATGCTGAAGGGAGCAGTAGCAAGTCAGGAGAGGTCTGCTGCGCCATATGTGGGTTAGTTTCCTGGTCAGGATTTGAACTCACACCACAGAGGAGAGCAGGCATAGACAACCAGGGAGGACCTTTTTACCACATTTTTTCCAAAAAAAAGCAGATGACCATTGTCAGCACATTTTTAAATGCTTCAAAGACCTTATACTCCTTTGTACATGCACCTGGGTGCACACCTGCCTTGGGGTGCCACTGGGAAAGTCTGTGTGTCTTGACAATGCTCTTAAGGTAGGTATAAAGCAGCTGAGGCTTCTTCCCCAGGCTCCCTGAGCTTGGCAAAATACGCATTTTCCCTTAAAAAGTGCAAGCCACTCCCAATGTGTTGACCAAAAAAGTCTTCTAAGAGACACTCAAAGATAGGTAAGTTCCCCAAGGATCGATGTGCTCTGTGAGGCCATTATTAACTTGGGGCTTAGGAGCATTAGTACCTGACAACTCATAAGAAACAAGCAACTGTGAGTCTGCTCAGTCAGCTGCTTTGGGCAGGAACCCCCTAGACCAAGCCCCTTCACAGCAACTCCTGCTCTAGTAAATATTAAAACTCTGAGTACCTACCCCACCTTTTTTACACTCTACCTTGGAAATATCCACTGGCTTGGATAGGAAGTTCGAGGACATGTCACAAACCAGCACTGCTCCCTTGACATCAGGGATGAAGTCAAACTCCACTCCATGCACAGTCTCATTGGCACAGTAATACACGTAGGAGGCATCAGGACTGAGGTTCCAGGTGCTGGGATCTGGAATTTCTACCACAGAAAACAAGTTAGAGACTACACTCCTGTCTACATAAGTGATTCGACCAGAAATGCAGCCCTAACTAAGTAGGAAAAGACTGATTCCAATGAATTTACAAATGAAAGCACTTATTCACCTGGTCTAACAGTCATCACCTAGAAGACTGATCTCACCCTCTGACTACTAACAGTCATCACCTAGAAGACTGATCTCACACTCTGACTACTAGTGAGTGACAAATTCATTTTAAGAAAGGCATGGTAGATAGCTGGGATTTTTCTAGTCTATTGATGGTCCAAAAGTTTCCCGTTAGAGGCCCAGTCTCCCTTTACTCTCAGTCCATGTGGTTCTGATCCAAAGATAGCATTTGATTTGAGCATGACCAGGTAACTGATTTGCCTTGGGACACTTGGGGGCTGTTATTGGGGTTGCTTCGGCAGACACATAAAATTTGAAAGAATATAACAAGGTCCTGAACAGCTGCAAGCCAGCCTCTAAAAAGGATGGGACAGCTTTCCTGATTGTAGAGCTACCATGAAGGAGACATTATTGAGGCCCTTGATCAAGCCCTACCTAAAGCCAAACCAGTCCCTGGGCTATTTAGCTTAGTAATCTTTCTCCAGCCATCAGGTACTAGTCTTAACTTAGTACAGCTATCTAACCCAAATCAAACTAATTACTGATAAGATGAGGAAAGAATTAAAAGCTGGAGACTTCCCTAGATGGGGTACCTGATATCTGAATAGGGACCACCACCCCCAGTCCGCAGCTTGGCCCCCAGTACTCACTTGTGTAACTCCCCAGTTTAGGGTGCACAACATTCACAGTCCCAAACTTCTTGGCTTCTTCAGCAGCTTTAGCCGACCAAGCTCCAGTCACTACATAGTCAGCACACCTTCCTGCTTTCAGGCCAATTAGGTTTAAGGGCACAGCACTGAACTGGCCAGATCCACCTCCTTGCACAAAAACCACCTTGTAGTTGTCTGGAATGGCTCTGGGAAGAAGCACAGATGTCAGCAAACATATAGAGTCACATAGTCAAGAACAGAGAATGAGACATATCACCAGTACTTTATATGCTACAAGGAATATGGTAAAGTTCTATTACACTTTGCCTTCCCTAGCTCAGTCTTGTATCTATGGAATCCCAGACAACTGTTCATTGGGCCCTGAAGGAGAAGTTACGAACACTGTTTGGACAGAGGCTAGTAACACTTCATTGTTCTTTTAGGGAGCCGTCCCTCTGTATCTCAGTCCACAAGATTGGCCACTACTGAACCCCAGCCATGGGGAATGAGCAACACCAGCCAGGCTGGCAAACAGGATTTGGTTCCGAGGCCTTTGATTAAACTTCTGGGGGAAAAACTCTTTCAACTCAGCCCTGGTGGCACAGGAGTTAAAGTCTCAGCAATATTAAGCAATCGCCAGTCACTGTGGCATGAGTTCGATCCCCTGGCCAGGAAGCTGACCCACTTGGCACAGCACTGTGTGTCTCACTGGCTGCTCCTCAGCAGTGTACCTCAGTAGATCTGCCTGTTCTGTTCCCACCTCTGTCTTTGGTAAATCCTCTCTCACACACACCCCTGCCCCTGCAGCTTGGACTACATCCCAAATCTTATATACATAAATAAATCTTTTTTAAAAAAAAACTTTCAATTGAGGAAAAGAATAAACTTATAGGAGTTAATCTAACAACCACTGGTGGCCTTCTGGAAAACTAACATATAACCAAAGACTCAAAAGTTGGAGAAAATGTCTTATGACATCACCTTTCTGTCATAACATTTGTGTTATGTGAGGTGACACACTCCCTCTTTTGCCAGGAGTTGGGCCTCTGCACTTGTAACTAAAAATCCTAAGAGTATCTATGAGTATCATGCTATGAACCAAGTGGAGACTGGATAGGATCTTTAATCATATTTTAGGTTTAACTGTATAGCCACCTACCATGGAGATTAACAGCAAAACTTTTTGGCTCCAACATGGAAAATTATGCCGATGTTTAGAATGGTTATAAGTAGTAGGACATCGCCAATCCCAAAGGCCCAAGCCTTTGAGTGACACTGCAGCTTGGGAAGTGGAATACAGAGGACAGAGTGCTGAGGACAGAGCTCCAGGAACATCAAGTACCAAAGAACAGGGCGACATAAGAGGGAATAGGGCGGTGTGAAGATAGGTAGTTCTCAGCGGCATCTGTCTGTGTCTGTGTTCAGGAGGGTGGCAAGTACGCAGATGGGCCTACAGCGGCTCTACCCATGAGCTTCACAACTGGGAGAACTGGCAGCCTAAGGCTGGGTTCCAGTCTGTGTTGTGCAGAGGACAGGCAGTTTACAAGGCAAACTGATGGAAGGACACAAGACAGGCCTAGGTACAAGGTAGGACCTGATTAGGAAAAGGACTAGGCTCATCATTGAATGTGGAGTCCAGTTCAAGAGGCTCATAGTCATGGGGCTTAAAACTGCATGGGTCAATGTTCCCCCACAGGCCCTCCAGGAAGGCCAGGACTGTTCTATGAATATGACAGGGGCCCAGGTGACAGGCCAGGTGGTGAGGCCAAGCAACGCTTACCCTGCCATGGTTTCTATTGCTCTTCACAGAAAATGCAACCCAGTCTGCCCACCCCGCAACAAATTTTACCAAGGCAAATTGGGACAATTATGAAATCATTGATATGACTCCAATTTTATTAATAAAACAAGGCAAGGGGGGACCCTAATTGATGGATCCAGCACTTGAAGTTTTTAATATTTCCTCAATCAGTCAGGTAATTAATTCTGACAAGTGGTCAGCCCCATATTTTAAGAGCCAATGAACTAGATTATAGTTAATGATGCTGACAAAGATGACTATTTCTTGTCATTTAAATCCCTTTTAAGCTAGTTTCACTTCCACTGTGCTGAAAATCTTTCCTAGAGCTAAGGATTTCAAACCTTTGGAAATACTACATAAAATAAAAATACACAAAAGCAGGATGGGGAACAAGTTAAAAGTGTTATGTACTCATGGAGTGAATTTGGAAGAACCTCAGATTATTTTTAATTATATTCTGAACATGCAGAGAACAGCAAAGAAAGTAATGAACACTCTAGTGCCCAGATTATCAAACAAGAGGCACTTTGGCCTTTAAAATGTCACACTCACAATAATTCCCGCACAAGAGTCTCTGTGTTGTTAATAATCTTAGCAAAATCTGATGACCTGTGGCTCATTTCTGTAGAAGGAAAGATAAACAACATGAGTTCAGTTCAAAATCCAATAAACAGAAGTAACTTGTAGAAGTCACCACAAAATTTGCAAGTAAAATAAATCATAAAGGAAAATCTCAGTGATTTTGTATTCAGATGGTAGGCCAAGTCTCACTTGTGTAGGGGGAAATCCAATTTGATTTTCAGGTTGCAAACACTGTAGCCTTACTGTCACAGAAGAATTTTTGTCAAGTGGCAAATTCATTGAGGGAGCCATTTACTATTTCATCCTTTGGTCTCTGTAATTTCTCGCAAACAGGAAACTGTGAAGAGATTACCCTTCAGGACAACAGCCCAAATGTCATGGTATACTCCCACTTCATAGAAACCTTAAGTGCATGTCCCAAGCCCACAGGAATAAAATAGCAATGAGCACATGGTTTACTCTATAATTTCATATAAGGTGCAGCCTTCAGAAGTATGAAAAAAGCAAAGGAAAACTAAGTAAAAGAAAGTGAATTTTAGAACTCACAAGTCCTTTCCCCAATAATATAGGGAAAGGAGATCCTGAGACTGTTTACAGCCAGACCACCATTAAAGACTCCTATCTCTTTAAATTTTAATAAGTTAACTTTAAAACATAGAAAAAAAACTGTAAGCAGAATATCAAGCAATATTATAAATGTTTGGGGCACTGTACTATAGATTTATGGTATCTTCTGATCTCAGACCCTAAAAACAGCAAAAATTACTCATGCAACAGTGAGCTGAAGTGGATGAACCCCTCACCAGCATTTATGGAGGGGTCAAAACTATTTCACAGAACACGCAACCAGAGCTGTTGAAATTTTAAAATCTATGAATGAAAGGTCTACAGAAGACCTTGTGAAATTTCTGGGCTTGATACATTTAAATTAGATCCACTTGAAAGCTGGATAGTCACAGAATCCAAAAGTAAATCTTACCAAGAACACTAATCCCAACTCCTTTGTAGTCTAATAATTCTTTTTGTAACTCTAATAATACCTAGAAGGAATAAGAAAAAAAGATGATTTTAATACACTGTGCACAGTACTCCCTCTAGACATACAAATCTTGGAAGGAGAAGAGGCAGGGATATATCCACCACAAGGCCTGTGAGGTCTGGAGGTGTCTGTCCCACCCACAACCAATCCGCTCCCTCCCACTATTCCCAAAGAGATTTGCTGATGCAATTCACACACAACATGATTGCAACATGATCGATGCTATGATATAGTTTTTTTACAAAGGCATGGATTTATTTGGATGTAAAAATTTACTTGAATAAAACTTATTCTTGTAACTGATGCCCTAGAAAATATCCCAAACCCCATTTGCTACTCTCTTAAAGCAAAAGTACAAAATGCATGAAGTTCTAGGTGCAAAAGAAAGGGGGAAAATTCAAGAATTCCTAAGTTAAAGAAAATTCAAGAAATCCTAAATTAAAGAGATAACTGAATTTTGCAGGCTTCTTGTCTAACTTGCTCAACTGATTCATGTGGAATGGCAGCAAGAAGGAAGCACCTGCAATCAAAGACGACAAACAGGCAAAACCACAGGAATAATTCTTAGACTTTATGAATAATTTATTGACAACAAAGAAAATGTGGAGGAAGGACACACTGAGTTGTGGCAGAGGGCAAGGTGTTCGCATTCAGAGGTGTGAAGCTGTACTCCCCAAATTATAGTTAGGTGATTAGTAGCAAAATCAGTAACACTTAAAAAAAAATCTTCATGAGGTGATAGATGATTGCTCTCCTTTGACCCCATGGTGGATCTGCCCACGAGTGATATGCTTGTTCACAGTTTGCAGACGAGGAACCTCGCATATAGAAATGAATTTACAGAAATCCTATTTAAATGAAGTGGGGAGGTTAGAGAAGCTCCCAGCCTGCACAATCAGCAAACTATAGAATCTTAATCGCTCTGCATCTCCCATGGGAATTGATGCTGCTTCCTGTCTAAAAAAGGAAAAAAGTCCTCATACTCCACCAGCAGCCGCTCCAAAAGCTATCTGCAGGGGACTGGCTTTTGATCTGGGGAAGTGGGGATGGGTCTTGTCTAAATTGCCTTTTTTTTTGTTATAGTTTACAAGTAAATCCATTTTGCTGGTGAAATAACTAGGTGCTTTTTGTTTCGGGTCATGATCCTTGAGGCTCGAAGAATGACTTCACAGTGTGCCCCTGGTCAACCATGACCCATCTTGTAAGATGACCACAGTCCATAACCATACAGGGGGGCAATGGGGGTTTGCCACAGTGGCAGGAAATGGGTAGACAATGATGTGGCCAGAGGTCAGCCTCTCCATGCAAAACACAGCTAGCTCGGGAGGAGCCCATTGCTTTTTCCCAAAGGATGGCAAATTGCAAAAAATTACAAACCGAAAATAAAAACATCTGTCTTTTTATTTTGTTTTGTAAAAGATGTATTTATTTATGCATACAAGAATGGGGGTACAGGCCAGAAGTGCAGGGGTGGTGAGGGGATCCACCAGAAAGAGTGGGGAGCACAACAAGCAGACTGAGTGAAATACACTGCTGTGTAGGAGGGACAGGAGAGATCTGCCACCCCATGTGGGTCAGCTCCCTGGCCAGTGATACAACTCCTGCTGCAGTGGCTTTAGATAACTTCATAGTGCGGTGCTTTAACCCATTG